TTGCGAAACTGCTTCGTGAATCTGGCCCCATGTGATAGCGCCTCTTAATGGGGTGGTTGGGTTACACTCTCGTTGTTGGCCGTTAAGTCCTGCTTCTCCACTAACGAACGATCGTTAAGTGGTGTGAGTGTGTGTGAGTGTGTGTGTGTGTGTGTGTGTGTGTGTGAGTGTGTGTGAGTGTGTGTGTGTGTGTGTGTGTGTGTGTGTGTGTGTGTGTGTGTGTGTGTGTGTGTGTGTGTGTGAGAGAGAGAGATCACATGATTAAACCAGAAAGGTTTTAGTGAGACGCGCAAAATGTGTTGATAAAGCAAAGTGAGGATTATTTAGTCTTCACTCTCGTGACGACGGCCGGGGACCTTTATAATCCCTGGAAAACTCTACCAAACTTTGTTATGAAAATAAATCATATGAACATTGCTAAACAATTGTCAAACTGTGTTAAATACTTGAATAGCATTACTTAAATACTTCAATTTGAAATCCAACATTCTGCCTCTAACTCATTTTATATGCATGATCTTTTCCCTAAATAAAATTGTCCTTGTCATTGTCGCTATATATATATATATATATATATATATATATATATATATATATATATATATATATATATATATATATATATATATATTATTAAATATGACCGAAAAAGTAAGATTAATAATTCTAACACGAATTTTCTCAATCTTTCGTACATTACGCTTCACTGTTGGAGGTAAATCAAAAATCACTTCTCCAAAATTCATTTTTATTTCTAGTCTGACGCGACACGGGCGCGTTTCGTAAAACTTATTACATTTTCAAAGACTTCACAAATACACAACTGATTAGAACGTATCTCTGATTTTATATCTACATTTGAGTGAGGTGGGAAGGGTGATGTGGCATTAACACAAGACAGAACAGGAGGGGATATTAATAGGGTATTAAAAGTATCAACACAAGACAGAACAGAAACAATGGGTATTGAATAGAAGTGTTTGTAGAAAGCCTATTGGTCCATATTTCTTGATGCTTCTATATTGGAGCGGAGTCTTGAGGTGGGTAGAATATAGTTGTGCAATAATTGGCTGTTGATTGCTGGTGTTGACTTCTTGATGTGTAGTGCCTCGCAAACGTCAAGCCGCCTGCTATCGCTGTATCTATCGATGATTTCTGTGTTGTTTACAAGGATTTCTCTGGCGATGGTTTGGTTATGGGAAGAGATTATATGTTCCTTAATGGAGCCCTGTTGCTTATGCATCGTTAAACGCCTAGAAAGAGATGTTGTTGTCTTGCCTATATACTGGGTTTTTTGCCTATATACTGGAAACCCACTTCGGCCAATCATTAGCCAGATACCCACACCCACGTACAGACTGGCAAAGCGACTCAACGGCCTGCTGACTCCTTATGTTCCTTGCGCCTTCAGCCTGAAGTCTCCAAAGGAATTTGTGGACTTACTGCGGGGCACACGGGCCACAGGGATAAGAGCCTCGTTGGACGTAGAATCGCTGTTTACCAACGTACCTGTGGACGAGACAATCGGAATGATAGCCGACAGAGTGTATCGTGATCCAGCCTGTACTCCTCTTGACATGCCAGAAAGTATTCTGAGGAAACTACTCCAAGCTTGTACTAAAGAGGCACCCTTCTTGAGCCCGGATGGGCACATGTATAAGCAAGTAGATGGGGTCGCCATGGGTTCTCCCCTAGGTGTCCTGTTTGCAAACTTCTACATGGGTACCATCGAGCAAAAAGTCTTAGTCGACATGAACTTGAAACCGGCCATATACTGCAGGTATGTTGACGACATTTTTACACAGGTACCTGATGTCAGACATCTGCAGAAGCTGAAGGAGGCATTTGAGCAGAGTTCCGTGCTGCGTTTCACTTACGAGACGGAAAAGGATGGGAAGCTGCCTTTTCTAGATGTAACAGTCATGGAAAAGGGCGGAGGTTTCCACACTGCAGTCTACACTAAGGAAACAAACATAGGAATGTGCCTAAATGCCAACAGCGACTGCCCTGACAGGTACAAGAGGAGTGTTGTTAACGCATACGTCGACCGTGCTCTCAGCCACAGCTCAGAATGGAAGCAAGTCGACGAAGAACTCTGTAGGGTAAGGCAGGTCCTAGTCAATAACGGCTTCTCCAATGGTTTCATCGAAGACATCATAAGAAGGAAAGTGAAAAGCCATGCAACCTCTGAAGAGACAACTAACACAACACCTATACCCCCTATTAGACTATTTTACAGGAACTTCTTTTCCACAGCTCATAAAACGGAGGAAAGGGTCCTGAAAGATATTGTTAATAGAAACGTTATCCCTACAGACAAAAATCAGAGGATACAACTGACGATTTACTATAAAACCAGAAAAACGGCCAGCCTACTCATGAGAAACTCTCTAGACACAAAACAGAACGCTTTAAAAGAGACTAATGTCGTCTATGCCTTCAAATGCCCACTTGGGGACTGTAAGCTCCAAAAAACCCAGTATATAGGCAAGACAACAACATCTCTTTCTAGGCGTTTAACGATGCATAAGCAACAGGGCTCCATTAAGGAACATATAATCTCTTCCCATAACCAAACCATCGCCAGAGAAATCCTAGTAAACAACACAGAAATCATCGATAGATACAGCGATAGCAGGCGGCTTGACGTTTGCGAGGCACTACACATCAAGAAGTCAACACCAGCAATCAACAGCCAATTATTGCACAACTATATTCTACCCACCTCAAGACTCCGCTCCAATATAGAAGCATCAAGAAATATGGACCAATAGGCTTTCTACAAACACTTCTATTCAATACCCATTGTTTCTGTTCTGTCTTGTGTTGATACTTTTAATACCCTATTAATATCCCCTCCTGTTCTGTCTTGTGTTAATGCCACATCACCTTCCCACCTCACTCAAATGTAGATATAAAATCAGAGATACGTTCTAATCAGTTGTGTATTTGTGAAGTCTTTGAAAATGTAATAAGTTTTACGAAACGCGCCCGTGTCGCGTCAGACTAGAAATAAAAATGAATTTTGGAGAAGTGATTTTGATTTACCTCCAACAGTGAAGCGTAATGTACGAAAGATTGAGAAAATTCGTGTTAGAATTATTAATCTTACTTTTTCGGTCATATTTAATAATATATGTCTACAGGAAAGACTGCTACCAAAATATACTATATATATATATATATATATATATATATATATATATATATATATATATATATATATATATATATATATATATATATATATATATATATATATATATATATATATATATATATGCAGAATAACCACATATGAAAAATAGAAAATGCTTAACGCGTTCTACTTTCTACTTTGCTCTGATGAAGGCGAATTAGCCGAAAACGCGTTAAGCATTTTCTATTTTTCATATGTGGTTATTCTGCATACTTGGATCAGTGTTTTTGTGATCATTGTTGCATATATATATATATATATATATATATATATATATATATATATATATATATATATATATATATATATATATATATATATATATATATATATATATATATATCGGTGTTTATAATAAATATGATCAACATTCACTTAATTATTTAGCTTTTGAAGGACAAGCAATATAATTCCTCCCATAATTGGGAACTAGTCGTTGAAGAGGATGCATCCCACAACAGCCGTCTTGCACACAAATTCTAATCTATTGCAACACAAGTTTAACGTGTATGGCAATGTGGCCAAACTTATCGTCACTCACGAGAATCAAACCCAGGACCATTGAGGTGTGACCCACCCGCACTGACCATTACTCTACACGAATATGATTTTTACGTGGTGTTACTTGTCAATATTTCAGCCTCATTCCCTACCTTAGGCTACCTTGAGGTGCTTCCGGGGCTTAGTGTCCCCGCGGCCCGGTCGTCGACCAGGCCTCCTCTAAAATAAAAATAAGAAATATATTGTATCATACAACCAGCATCAGACTGTAGGATACAGGATGCTGTAAGTATTGGATAATCAAGTATTGATTATATGCTCTATTGTATCATCAGCTGCTGTATTTGATTTAGCCAAGAAGCAAGGTTTGAGTGGAGGGGATTGGATACAGCACAGTGCCTGGTGCTGTAGGCTGGGATAAACGAAGCTTATCCATCTCTCTCGCTCTTGTCTCTCACTCTGTGAAGCTCTCTCGCTTCCCAGAGCACAAGTGTGACTAAAGTATCGGAGTCTTGCTGGCTGTGAGGGCTCAAACTCACTCACTCATTCCTCCTGCTTCTCTAAGTTCACCACTCATACCTGCAATCAAAATTAATCACTAATTAATCTTTGCAAATTGTGTGTATATCATATGTGTGATACCAGGCCTGGGGCCAGATTCACGAAAGCACTTACGAACGTGTACATCTTTTCTCAATCTTTTACGGCTTTGTTTACAATTATTAAACAGTTAATGAGCTCGGAAGCACCAGGAGGCTGTTTATAACAATAACAACAGTTGAATGGGAAGTTTTCATGCTTGTAAACTGCTTAATAAATGTAACCAAAGCCGTCAAAGATTGAGGAAAGATGTACACGTTCGTAAGTGCTTTCGTGAATGTGGCCCCTGGAGCCTATCGTTGCAGCTCAACAAATTCCTGTTCATCTGTTGCACCTTGCACGGTGTAAATCCTGAACACATAATTCATAATTCTCTTCAAAAAAGATAGTTTGGAAGAATATTTTTCGAGTGAAGGAGATGGTTGAGCGTGCGAGCCTCGGACGGCGTCCTGACCTCCCTGTAACTCTTGTCATATACTTGTTTACAACACTCTACGTCACGTCCAGGACTATGTTAGTGGGGCCTTATGGTGCCTCATGATCAACATGTTTCGGAAAGCCGCTGGCATGAGGTGGGCTCTGTGGGGCCCCCGGCATGAGGTGGGCTCCGTGGGACCCCGGCATGAGGTGGGCTCTGTGGGGCCCCCGGCATGAGGTGGGCTCCGTGGGACCCCGGCATGAGGTGGGCTCCGTGGGGCCCCGGCTTGAGGTGGGCTCCGTGGGGCCCCCGGCATGAGGTGGGCTCCGTGGGGCCCCGGCATGAGGTGGGCTCTGTGGGGCCCCGGCTTGAGGTGGGCTCCGTGGGGCCCCCGGCATGAGGTGGGCTCCGTGGGGCCCGGCATGAGGTGGGCTCTGTGGGGCCCCTGGCATGAGGTGGGCCGGCGTGGGACCCGGCTTGAGGTGGGCTCTGTGGGGCCCCCGGCATGAGGTGGGCTCCGTGGGACCCCGGCATGAGGTGGGCTCCGTGGGACCCCGGCATGAGGTGGGCTCCGTGGGGCCCCGGCTAGAGGTGTGCTCCGTGGGGCCCCCGGCATGAGGTGGGCTCCGTGGGGCCCCCGGCATGAGGTGGGCTCCGTGGGACCCCGGCATGAGGTGGGCTCCGTGGGGCCCCGGCTTGAGGTGGGCTCAGTGGGGCCCCCGGCATGAGGTGGGCTCCGTGGGGCCCCGGCATGAGGTGGGCTCCGTGGGGCCCCGGCTTGAGGTGGGCTCCGTGGGGCCCCGGCTTGAGGTGGGCTCCGTGGGGCCCCCCGGCATGAGGTGGGCTCCGTGGGGCCCCCGGCATGAGGTGGGCTCCGTGGGGCCCCGGCATGAGGTGGGCTCCGTGGGACCCCCGGCATGAGGTGGGCTCCGTGGGGCCCCCGGCATGAGGTGGGCTCCGTGGGGCCCCGGCATGAGGTTGGCTCCGTGGGACCCCCGGCATGAGGTGGGCTCCGTGGGACCCCTGGCATGAGGTGGGCTCCGTGGGACCCCTGGCATGAGGTGGGCTCCGTGGGACCCCTGGCATGAGGTGGGCTCCGTGGGGCCCCCGGCTTGAGGTGGGCTCCGTGGGACCCCGGCATGAGGTGGGCTCCGTGGGACCCCCGGCTTGAGGTGGGCTCCGTGGGACCCCGGCATGAGGTGGGCTCCGTGGGACCCCCGGTATGAGGTGGGCTCCGTGGGGCCCCCGGCTTGAGGTGGGCTCCGTGGGACCCCGGCATGAGGTGGGCTCCGTGGGACCCCGGCATGAGGTGGGCTCCGTGGGACCCCGGCATGAGGTGGGCTCCGTGGGGCCCCCGGCTTGAGGTGGGCCCGGTGGGACCCCGGCATGAGGTGGGCTCCGTGGGACCCCGGCATGAGGTGGGCTCCGTGGGACCCCGGCATGAGGTGGGCTCCGTGGGGCCCCGGCATGAGGTGGGCTCCATGGGGCCCCCGGCATGAGGTGGGCTCCGTGGGACCCCTGGCATGAGGTGGGCTCCGTGGGCCCCGGCATGAGGTGGGCTCCGTGGGGCCCCGGCTTGAGGTGGGCTCCGTGGGGCCCCGGCTTGAGGTGGGCTCCGTGGGACCCCGGCATGAGGTGGGCTCCGTGGGGCCCCCGGCATGAGGTGGGCTCCATGGGGCCCCGGCTTGAGGTGGGCTCCGTGGGGCCCCGGCATGAGGTGGGCTCCATGGGGCCCCGGCTTGAGGTGGGCTCCGTGGGACCCCTGGCATGAGGTGGGCTCCGTGGGGCCCCGGCATGAGGTGGGCTCCGTGGGACCCCGGCATGAGGTGGGCTCCGTGGGGCCCCGGCTTGAGGTGGGCTCCGTGGGACCCCGGCATGAGGTGGGCTCCGTGGGGCCCCGGCTTGAGGTGGGCTCCGTGGGACCCCTGGCATGAGGTGGGCTCCGTGGGACCCCGGCTTGAGGTGGGCTCCGTGGGACCCCTGGCATGAGGTGGGCTCCGTGGGGCCCCGGCTTGAGGTGGGCTCCGTGGGGCCCCGGCTTGAGGTGGGCTCCGTGGGACCCCGGCATGAGGTGGGCTCCGTGGGGCCCCGGCTTGAGGTGGGCTCCGTGGGGCCCCGGCATGAGGTGGGCTCCGTGGGGTCCAGGCTTGAGGTGGGCTCCGTGGGACCCCGGCATGAGGTGGGCTCCGTGGGGCCCCGGCATGAGGTGGGCTCCGTGGGGCCCCGGCTTGAGGTGGGCTCCGTGGGACCCCTGGCATGAGGTGGGCTCCGTGGGACCCCGGCTTGAGGTGGGCTCCGTGGGACCCCTGGCATGAGGTGGGCTCCGTGGGGCCCCGGCATGAGGTGGGCTCCGTGGGGCCCCGGCTTGAGGTGGGCTCCGTGGGACCCCCGGCATAAGGTGGGCTCCGTGGGGCCCCGGCATGAGGTGGGCTCCGTGGGGCCCCGGCTTGAGGTGGGCTCCGTGGGACCCCGGCATGAGGTGGGCTCCGTGGATAAGGAGCTTGGTGTGGATAAGGAGCTTGGTGTGGATAAGGAGCTTGGTGTGGATAAGGAGCTTGGTGTGGATAAGGAACTCGGTGTGGATAAGGAACTTGGTGTGGATAAGGAACTTGGTGTGGATAAGGAACTTGGTGTGGATAAGGAGCTTGGTGTGGATAAGGAACTCGGTGTGGATAAGGAACTTGGTGTGGATAAGGAACTCGGTGTGGATAAGGAACTCGGTGTGGATAAGGAACTTGGTGTGGATAAGGAACGCGGTGTGGATAAGGAGCTCGGTGTGGATTAGGAGCTTGGTGTGGATAAGGAGCTCGGTGTGGATAAGGAGCTTGGTGTGGATAAGGAGCTTGGTGTGGATAAGGAACTCGGTGTGGATAAGGAACTTGGTGTGGATAAGGAGCTTGGTGTGGATAAGGAGCTTGGTGTGGATAAGGAGCTTGGTGTGGATAAGGAGCTTGGTGTGGATAAGGAACGCGGTGTGGATAAGGAACGCGGTGTGGATAAGGAGCTGGTGTGGATAAGGAGCTTGGTGTGGATAAGGAGCTTGGTGTGGATAAGGAGCTTGGTGTTGATAAGGAGCTTGGTGTGGATAAGGAACGCGGTGTGGATAAGGAACGCGGTGTGGATAAGGAGCTTGGTGTGGATAAGGAGCTTGGTGTGGATAAGGAGCTTGGTGTGGATAAGGAGCTTGGTGTGGATAAGGAACGCGGTGTGGATAAGGAACTCGGTGTGGATAAGGAACTCGGTGTGGATAAGGAACGCGGTGTGGATAAGGAGCTTGGTGTGGATAAGGAACGCGGTGTGGATAAGGAACGCGGTGTGGATAAGGAGCTTGGTGTGGATAAGGAACGCGGTGTGGATAAGGAGCTTGGTGTGGATAAGGAACTCGGTGTGGATAAGGAACTCGGTGTGGATAAGGAACGCGGTGTGGATAAGGAGCTTGGTGTGGATAAGGAACGCGGTGTGGATAAGGAACTCGGTGTGGATAAGGAGCTTGGTGTGGATAAGGAACGCGGTGTGGATAAGGAGCTTGGTGTGGATAAGGAACGCGGTGTGGATAAGGAGCTTGGTGTGGATAAGGAGCTTGGTGTGGATAAGGAGCTTGGTGTGGATAAGAAACGCGGTGTGGATAAGGAACGCGGTGTGGATAAGGAGCTTGGTGTGGATAAGGAACTTGGTGTGGATAAGGAACTTGGTGTGGATAAGGAACTTGGTGTGGATAAGGAACTTGGTGTGGATAAGGAACTTGGTGTGGATAAGGAGCTTGGTGTGGATAAGGAACTTGGTGTGGATAAGGAACTTGGTGTGGATAAGGAACTTGGTGTGGATAAGGAACGCGGTGTGGATAAGGAGCTTGGTGTGGATAAGGAGCTTGGTGTGGATAAGGAACTTGGTGTGGATAAGGAGCTTGGTGTGGATAAGGAGCTTGGTGTGGATAAGGAGCTTGGTGTGGATAAGGAGCTTGGTGTGGATAAGGAACGCGGTGTGGATAAGGAGCTTGGTGTGGATAAGGAACTTGGTGTGGATAAGGAGCTTGGTGTGGATAAGGAGCTTGGTGTGGATAAGGAGCTTGGTGTGGATAAGGAACTTGGTGTGGATAAGGAACGCGGTGTGGATAAGGAACTCGGTGTGGATAAGGAGCTTGGTGTGGATAAGGAACGCGGTGTGGATAAGGAACGCGGTGTGGATAAGGAACTCGGTGTGGATAAGGAACTCGGTGTGGATAAGGAGCTTGGTGTGGATAAGGAACTCGGTGTGGATAAGGAGCTTGGTGTGGATAAGGAACGCGGTGTGGATAAGGAACTCGGTGTGGATAAGGAGCTTGGTGTGGATAAGGAACTCGGTGTGGATAAGGAACGCGGTGTGGATAAGGAACTTGGTGTGGATAAGGAGCTTGGTGTGGATAAGGAACTCGGTGTGGATAAGGAACGCGGTGTGGATAAGGAACTTGGTGTGGATAAGGAGCTTGGTGTGGATAAGGAACTCGGTGTGGATAAGGAACGCGGTGTGGATAAGGAACTCGGTGTGGATAAGGAACGCGGTGTGGATAAGGAACTCGGTGTGGATAAGGAACTCGGTGTGGATAAGGAACTCGGTGTGGATAAGGAGCTCGGTGTGGATAAGGAACTCGGTGTGGATAAGGAACTCGGTGTGGATAAGGAACTCGGTGTGGATAAGGAGCTTGGTGTGGATAAGGAACGCGGTGTGGATAAGGAGCTTGGTGTGGATAAGGAACGCGGTGTGGATAAGGAGCTTGGTGTGGATAAGGAACGCGGTGTGGATAAGGAGCTTGGTGTGGATAAGGAACTCGGTGTGGATAAGGAACTCGGTGTGGATAAGGAGCTTGGTGTGGATAAGGAACGCGGTGTGGATAAGGAGCTTGGTGTGGATAAGGAACTCGGTGTGGATAAGGAACTCGGTGTGGATAAGGAGCTTGGTGTGGATAAGGAACGCGGTGTGGATAAGGAGCTTGGTGTGGATAAGGAACGCGGTGTGGATAAGGAGCTTGGTGTGGATAAGGAACGCGGTGTGGATAAGGAGCTTGGTGTGGATAAGGAGCTCCCTCCCCTCCTCCCCCTCTTGACCTAACATTAGGATTTATAAGTTTTTCTGGTAATTTTGTCTACCATTCGAAATAAAATGGGGAGAAATGACCAACAAATTGGTGTAAATCAGAAGATTAACTTGCGACTATTTCGGGGCTCAATGTCCCTACGGCCCGGTCCCCGACCAGGCCTCCTAGGCAGAACACAAAGCTGCTCCCTCGAAAGGCTTCCCCATGAATATCTATATCTATAAAAAGAATATCAGCTTTTCCGTCTAAGTTCGGAGTCAAGAGACTTGTGACTAGCCTGGAAGGTGGGGTCGGCCCCATGCCCCCCCTGAAGGGGCGTCGGCCCCATGCCCCCCCCCCCCCCTGAAGGGGCGTCGGCCCTATGCCCCCATGCCCCCCCTGAAGGGGCGTCGACCCCTCTGCCCCCTCTTCAATAAGGCCAAATATATAACAGTAAGTGAACTAACGTTCTGAACGGGGTTGAATGCCCTTGTGTTCAGACCAATCCACCCACACCGGACGAGTTACAGGTGATGAACATTCTTGGCCAAGTTATGTAACTTGTGAACATATTCTGAGGCAGTCCAGGAGGGCCCTGGATACTCAAGGTGGGAGAGAACTTGTGTCTCATGTTAGACCTTACACACCTTGTTGTTACCAGGGGAGGAGATGCGTCACACAGGTGACAGGTGTTGGCTGTAACACAGGTGTTGGCTGTAACACACAGGTGTTAGCTGTAACACACAGGTGTTGGCTGTAACACACAGGTGTTGGATGTAACACACAGGTGTTGGCTGTTACACACAGGTGTTGGCTGTAACACACAGGTGTTGGCTGTAACACACAGGTGTTGGCTGTAACACACAGGTGTTGGCTGTAACACACAGGTGTTGGCTGTAACACACATGTGTTGGCTGTAACACACAGGTGTTGGCTGTAACACACATGTGTTGGCTGTAACACACAGGTGTTGGCTGTAACACACAGGTGTTGGCTGTCACACACAGGTGACAGGTGTTGATGCAGAAGGAGTTTGAGTGGTAGAGTTCTGTGTCGCAGTTCTCCATAGAGCTATAGGACAGGCAGACAATTCCCAACCAGTCTTCCTAATAGAACGTCGTATTTTGACGTATAGTCTCCCTAAGGCCGAAAAACATCGTACTAGAAAATGAAAGCGGCTGAAATTGACCTTCTGCCCCGTTTTCTGTTTCGGGTCCTCTGGTAGGTTAGGATAAGGGCACTTTAGTAGGACAGTATCTGGTTGGTGTGTAGAGTCAGGCGCTGGCGCAACATCACTCGCTCAACGCTGCAGAGTTCCTCGTTGATTGATGATACACTGAATCATCAATCCTCTGGCGAGTCCTGATATCTTTCACTTGGGGATAACGTGAGTCAGCATCTGTCTGGCTGTGAGAATGGCAGATGTTTGCTGAAGTGTCCTGCTTTTTGTATGTTATAACCTAAAACACACTTTCTCTCTGTCTGTCTGTCTGTCTGTCTGTCTGTCTCTCTCTCTCTCTCTCTCTCTCTCTCTCTCTTCTCTCTCTCTCTCTCTCTCTCTCTCTCTCTCTCTCTCTCTCTCTCTCTCTCTCTCTCTCTCTCTCTCTCTCTCTCTCTCTCTCTCTCTCTCTCTCTCTCTCTCTCTCTCTCTTCTCTCTCTCTCTCTCTCTCTCTCTCTCTCTCTCTCTCTCTCTCTCTCTCTCTCTCTCTCTCTCTCTCTCTCTCTCTCTCTCTCTCTCTCTCTCTCTCTCTCTCTCTCTCTCTCTCTCTCTCTCTCTTTCTGTCTCTAACCATCACTGCTGGTTATCACAGTGTACCGTCACTGCATGATATCACAGTGTACCATCACTGCATGATATCACAGTGTACCATCACTGCATGATATCACAGTGTACCATCACTGCATGATATCACAGTGTACCATCACTGCATGATATCACAGTGTACCATCACTGCATGATATCACAGTGTACCTTCCAAGCATGATATCACATATTATCTCAGTATAAAATCATTGACCCCACAATTACACAGTATTATCTCTAAACCTTTGTCCCCTCTGAACACATTACTCTCTCTCAGGTCCTGTATAACGCGGAAGATAACGTTTATTGGGATACTGAACAGTGTACCGTAAAGACAGGATTTCCCGCACCAACCACGAGACACGATGGACCAATCACGCTCCAGACAGCCTCGTTCCGAGGCCACAGTCGTCCCCACGATTTATTGATGATGATAATTTTTGGGGGTTTTATTCTGCCGTATAATTAATTGTTTTGAAGGGCGTTAACGAGAGGGGGGCGGGGGGGGGGGGGAGCTACAGTGTAGTTGGGATTATTGTTACAGACAAAGACAGTCATATATACACACACACACACACACACACATTCGCAGACACAAACACACACACATACACAGTTTCCAGTGTAGATATGATAGAGCCCAGTAGGCTCAAGAACCTGTACATCAGTTGATTGACTGTCGAGAGGCGGGACCAAAGAGCCAGTGCTCATCCCCCGCAAGCACAATTAGGTGAATACACATATACATACACAAACACACAAACAGGGCATTGGTGGCTGAGTGAACAGCACGCTGGATACGTAGTCCTGTGGTCCGGGGATCGATTCCCGGCGCCGGCGGAAACAGATGGGCAGAGTTTCTTTCACCCTGATGCCTCTGTTACCTAGCAGTAAATAGGTACCTGGGAGTTAGACAGCTGTTATGGGCTGCTTCCTGGGGGGGTGAGGGGAAATTAGTTAGTAGTTAGTAACAGTTGATTGAGAGTTGAGAGGCGGGCCGAAAGAGCAGAGCTCAACCACTGCAAGCACAACTAGGTGAATACAAGTAGATGAATACACGCACACACACTCCATACACAATTTCAGACGTAGATATGAAGATCTCAAAATGCTCAGGAACCTGTATACCAGATGATTGATGGTTGAGAAAGCTGGATCAAAGAGCTAGAGCTCAACCCCTGAAAACACAACTAGGTGAGTACAACTAGTGTGTGTGACTCTACACACACACACACACACACACACACACACACACACACACACACACACACACACACACACACACACACACACACACACACACACACACACACACACACACACACACACACACACTACAACAAACACCACCAGAGTGCAGGCGATGAGTCACAATAACATGACTAAAGAATGTTGACCAGACCACACACTAGAAGGTGAAGGGACGACGACGACGTTTCGGTCCGTCCTGGACCATTCTCAAGTCGATTGAGAATGCTCCAGGACGCACCGAAACGTCGTCGTCGTCCCTTCACCTTCTAGTGTGTGGTCTGGTCAACACCCAGAGTAATGCATATGTTACCTACCAGTGAGTACTGATGAAACACAGGTGTTGGGGCGAGACAGAACACATGTTGCGCCTCATCACGACCTTCCTAGACGAACCAGAAGGTCGGACACAAAAGTGTGTGTTCGGCTTTAATCCCAGTAAGTGCACAGTAATGAAACGCGGGATAGAAGGATGGAAAAAATATCCGTTAGGCACACATTAACATGATGACACCAGCGGTGAATGCAAAGTTGGTGTGGTTTTCAAGCAGCCTGGAGAAGATAGCTTTGATGGCGACGTATTCAACCTATGTCAGAGCATGACTACAAAGTGCAGCTCAAGCTTGGAATCTCCAAATAAAACAAAAATGTATGAAAACTTGACAAAATCCAGAAATTTTTTACAACATTTAATAAGAAAAATGCTTAGCTTTGACAGCCAAGAAGAAAGGCTGATTTAATTGGATCTCACTAAGCTGGAAAACAGAATTACAAAATTCTTAATAACTTGACAAAGTGTACGTGGTTACCTTCAGGTGAGCCATAGGTGGAAGAGAGCACTCCAAGTGAGCCATAGGTGGAAGCCAGCACTCCAAGTGAGCCATAGGTGGAAGCCAGCACTCCAAGTGAGCATAGATGGAAGCCAGCACACCATGTAAGTCAAAGGTGGAAGCCAGCACTCCATGTAAGTCAAAGGTGGAAGCCAGCACTCCATGTAAGTCAAAGGTGGAAGCCAGCACTCCATGTAAGTCAAAGGTGGAAGCCAGCACTCCATGTAAGTCATAGGTGGAAGCCAGCACTCCATGTAAGTCAAAGGTGGAAGCCAGCACTCCATGTAAGTCAAAGGTGGAAGCCAGCACTCCATGTAAGTCAAAGGTGGAAGCCAGCACTCCATGTAAGTCAAAGGTGGAAGCCAGCACTCCATGTAAGTCAAAGGTGGAAGCCAGCACTCCATGTAAGTCAAAGGTGGAAGCCAGCACTCCATGTAAGTCAAAGGTGGAAGCCAGCACTCCATGTAAGTCAAAGGTGGAAGCCAGCACTCCATGTAAGTCAAAGGTGGAAGCCAGCACTCCATGTAAGTCAAAGGTGGAAGCCAGCACTCCATGTAAGTCAAAGGTGGAAGCCAGCACTCCATGTAAGTCAAAGGTGGAAGCCAGCACTCCATGTAAGTCAAAGGTGGAAGCCAGCACTCCATGTAAGTCAAAGGTGGAAGCCAGCACTCCATGTAAGTCAAAGGTGGAAGCCAGCACTCCATGTAAGTCAAAGGTGGAAGCCAGCACTCCATGTAAGTCAAAGGTGGAAGCCAGCACTCCATGTAAGTCAGAGGTGGAAGCCAGCACTCCATGTAAGTCAGAGGTGGAAGCCAGCACTCCATGTAAGTCAGAGGTGGAAGCCAGCACTCCATGTAAGTCAAAGGTGGAAGCCAGCACTCCATGTAAGTCAGAGGTGGAAGCCAGCACTCCATGTAAGTCAAAGGTGGAAGCCAGCACTCCATGTAAGTCAAAGGTGGAAGCCAGCACTCCATGTAAGTCAAAGGTGGAAGCCAGCACTCCATGTAAGTCAAAGGTGGAAGCCAGCACTCCATGTAAGTCAAAGGTGGAAGCCAGTACTCCAAGTGAGCCAAAGGTGGACGCCAGCACTCCAAGTGAGCCAAAGGTGGAAGCCAGCACTCCATGTAAGTCAAAGGTGGAAGCCAGCACTCC